ATGTAGATAAGCTCAGTAGGTCTGTCACAGTGTGTATTTGATAAATCAGAGTGTGAGGCCTTTAAAGAGGAATGGGCAGACTGCCAGGTGCCTCGTCTCCCACAAATTATCTTCATTTACCTAAAGCCTGCAGGGTAAAGCCCACCTGTAGTGATACCTTACACAGATACTTTCTTTTTTTTTGTGGACTGGAAGAGAACATATAGAGCCGCGTATTTTGGTATCAAACTGTAGTAAATGTTTATATTGTTCTGTTGAAATCAAAACTGGCTCTATTCTTTAATGTTTGTCTGGTATTATTAAGAATGATTCATCTGTGCATGCTATAATGTCTGAAGAAAAAATGGATGTCTTCGTAGTTTTTTAAAAGTAAACTTGCTCTTCCTCTGAAATGACTTTCCTTTTCTGGTGACATCAGAGGCCATGCAGGCTTTTGGATAATGTAACATTGCTATTTGTTCATTCTATTTGTCAAAATCACATTCTACCTGGCTCCGTTCTGTTCTAATCAATTATCAGTGGTTAAATTAAGTCCCATTCTACATATTTTCTTGCTTACTTTCTTCTTTGCTCTTCACTAACCTGTACAATAAAGGTAAATAAAATATTTTTTGTGCTGTACAAGATGTATTCAAAAAGTCCATCATGGAAATGAGACACAATGGTTTTATGGGTCAGCACTGATGACTTTTAAGAGGGAATGGAGGAGGGGGCTTTATCCCGGATTAAGCAGTCATTAGCTACAGTCTTATCAGATGTGGAGGCATTGCTTAATACATATCTGAGTCTTTTCACACAGACTTACACATACTGTATGCGTGCAGGCCAATACACTCTAGAAACACAAAAGTTTATTTTAGTAAGTATACTTAAAAATATATTTAGACTTTTTCTAAGTATAAGTTAAGTATACTTAAATGTCATTTTAAGTATATTTCTGAGAAGTACATAAAGCCCATTTCTGAGAAGTACATAAAAAGTAGACTAAAAGTATACTTTCCTATTTTTTGTTTAAAAGAAGTATACTAATAGCACACTTGAATAAACTTATTTTTCGTAAGGGTAGGCAAATAGATCTTACAAAACAGAGCTACACATATACAAACCACTCTCTCACGTATTTGTATTTATATAAATGTATTTAGATGAGCATTTGACCCTTGTCTTGAGTCATGTCATGTTGATGGTATTGGAGTTATTTATTTTTATTCTCCCGAACTTCAAGGAGTTTCACTGACAACGTCAAGCTGTTTTTCTTAAACTGGGCTGCTTCTCAGTGCTAACATTATGAAATGTGCTTGATCATTTACAGAGTGCTGACACTGTTTTGAAGTCTATATTCTCAGGCCAGGTACACAATAGCAGGGAATAGTAAACAGACAGTAAACAACATTAAACAGACAGTAAACAGCCACATCAGCACCAATTTAACCATTGTTTGACCCATAACACACATGTGGACACAAGTGCTCAAAACACTGATCTCTAGTTAATCCTTTAAAATACAGATGTTGGTAGCTTTTAGAATTTTAATGAATGCATATGCAGCTGTATTTGTCATGATGTCTGAGATATTGCAAGTTGGAAGTTTCCTCGGGCCTTCAAGTCATAAGATAACAGATATCAGGGATGTTCTCCAGGGTATGAGCTGAAGTCAAGAGGTCAGACTTGAAAGGCAGTTGTTTCCTCATTATTTCCTTATTTGTCACACAGTCAAACAAATAGTGGGTGCAACCACCAACTCAAGGTGTATAGATTCATGTCATGGTTTAGAATTTATGACCTCTCCAGTCAACACCCTTGTCTGGATACCATATTTATTTCCAAAGGTACAGCCCACATAGGCTCTATTATGGATAAACAATTTTGTTGAGTAGAATGGAAATTGGTCCTTACAAGTAGGTTGTGTGTGTGTCTTTATATAATCAAAGGTGTTTAATTCTACAATTGTATGATTTATAAGTTTGTCCTCCTCAGCAAAATGAACGAGAGTTTACAAACCTGATGTTATCAAATACATGTAGATGAGCTGGGCTGTGTATTTCTGCATAAATAAATTGAAACCTGCAGATCATCATTATTTGGAGATGTGCTTCGACTGACTATCAGACATTATGGTTCCAGTATTGCACTCTGTTCTTTAAACCCAGTACGGGGTAAATTAGGAGCAGATATGGGCAACCCTGACCTGGCATAGTTCTCCCCGGCTGGAGCCACTGCTGGAAAAGCCATTTCTCCACAACATGCAAACAAATATAAAACAAATGGTGTACAGCCATGTAAAGAGAGGGGGAACAAATGTTAGGAAATATGAGGTCAGATGCTGAGTTATGACCTCACTACCTATTGCATTACGTTAAATTGCAAAAGTTGCTTTAAACGTGTAAATATGTGCCAATCTTTTGCAAGAAGCAAATCTGAATTGATGAAGATGCACGTTTAAGAGTCATTTCATTTACTCCAGAAATTTGTATTGGCAAGTATTATATCTGCCCCCCCCCAGGCTTTAACTACTCATTGGTTGGTTGAGTGCATAGTCTGACTGATTTTTGGACAGACATCTATGAGTGAACCTTTTGACTATTTTTGACACTCCATTTAACATACCGTGTACATAAACCCATATGGTATGGTGTTGCATGTTCAGCTATCTGTGCCTACTCCATTCAGTGGAGTTTGGGCACAGTTTTAAAACCAGAGAAAGAAGTATTGGCACAGAAACCTAGGTAAATAACAACACTGTAGTCAAAGCAAAACCATCTTCCTTTGGGGTTTGATACATTTGGCTTTGACAAGCTGAGCCCCCAGCCAACATTTACTAAAACATCTGACAACACTCTTTCTGAGGACTTTTCAAAATTAGGCAAGAAAATAATGGATTGTAAAGCACAGTTAAACTCACTGGATGATTCCTTTCACATGTAGACTTTCTTTGAGCTACTTGTCATATGTTTGATATTGTGTAGAGCATGGCAATCTTGGCCGGCTCTGTTCATTAGAGACAAAATCCGAAACCGTTGCAAAAAACAAACAAAATAAATATCAAACTACTTTTAAGCCACCTCTCATGATGTCTTGAATTGATCTTTTATTCTTTGGCTGAACCTTGACTTTAACTTTTATGTGATTCATAAACATTTTAGTATAAAACTCAGGTAGTTTTATGAGCTCCTTTAATAAACCGGTGAACAGGGTAAACAATCAAACAAATGAGAGTGCTCAAATTCACCTAAATGTAGACCGAGCTCTCATCTTAAGACTTTGGAATCAGTGTGCATTAACAGCTGTCCTGTGTTTGGTTATCATAGGGCTGGGAACCAAGAACCAGTTCATATTCAGATCTGGTTAAATCTCTTAAAAATATGGGAAGTCAATGATTTTCTCACTAAGTGCACACTCATTCTTACTAAAACTGTGCTAAAATATTTTGACAGTGTTTGCTACTATTCAGTGTTGCCGCAATATTAAACCCACAGATTGAAATTTACAGCATCATCAATCAGTGTAGACCGATACCGCAAAAAATAATGAGCCAGCTAGTGAATGCTTTGAGTGAAGTGCAATTTCCCAACAAATGACTCATATCAGTTGGATCTTTTTAAAGAACAATAAAAAACAAAGTGAAATCAGTGTAATCCGATTCCTGAACAAACAGCTCTTGTAAGTTCTTTTTAGTTAATGCAAAACATACAAATGCATTAAATTGAACTCTGATTCTGAATAACAAATGTCTCTTGTGAGCTTCATTGAATACACTCTGTGACTAGTCCGATTCCCAAAACATAACTCTAATCAGCTGATTTTTTTTTGAATAAAAAACACATTCACTGAATCAAAAAAAAAAAAAAAAAAACCACAAAACTGAATGCATGGGGTAACCACCCTCCAGCCAGCAAAATGCTGCTGTTAGGTGGTT